TTATGTCCTTGAGCTTATGGCATAGTTGGCATATTGAAGAGAGAAAGGAAAGCGCTTCTTTCAAGAAAATTACCATAAAAGGAAATTTTCAAGAAATTAGTTGTAAACGGGTGAGAGTTTTTTTTTTTTTGCTAAAGTTTGTTTTGTTTTTTCAAATATATATAGTTTTTATTATATATGTTGCTAAAATTTATAGATTCTTGATACAATTAATGCAATTATTTGATACAATTAATTGAATCACTATTAAAACATATAAATAATTGAAACATAATGTAATTATTTTTTAAATTTTTGAAAATTGAGTCAATAGCAATTAATTTATGCCATATGTATGGTTTTTATAAGTTTTTATAGTTATTATTTATTTTATTATTTTTTTTCAACTAATAAGATCTTGCTTAACATATTTTATTTAGTTTTATAGTTATTATAAATTAAAGAAGTTATAGTTATTCATATGATTAAATAGTTTAATTTTAAAATTGTTAGGCTTGATAAACTTTTTTATAGTATTTATTATTTTATAATTTATTTTTAAATCAAGTATTATATTAAAGTTACTTGTTATTATTATATACATGTATATTTATTTATTTATATTGTTAATTGAACAATTAAAAAAAACCATATTAAATACAAAATTTAATGCATTTAGAAAGACAATAAATCAAAGCTCAAGTAATTACGTATATTTTTTTTAATTTTTTCCTTCAAAAGATTTATTAATCAGTTGATATGCTGTATCTCAAGATAATCTAATCAATAAATAGTACAAATTTCTAGTTTGTCAAAACCACTTTCGTTCTTAAAAATAAGTGAACATAATATCTAAGCGTTGTCTTCAAACCATAATAAAAGAAGCGATTAAATTACTGTATTATAATGAAAGACTTTTGGTATGATTCAGGGAAAGAAACATGTCTATATATGTCAATTATAAAGAATGGATGCAATACATATGCATGCGTGACCAAACTCGCGGTTGCTTACGAAACTTGCAGGCTCCCGCTTCTTGAATTCAACTTCGCGAAGGTGCCATAGATTCTTCGATCGCGGAATTCCATTTCTCCATGTTCATTAGCACCTGTAATTTCCTCATACTCTCCTCCACTCTCCAACCTTCTCACATCCTCTTTCTTTTCACTCCGTCTTCTAATCCAAACCGGCACCAACACCGCCACACCGATTAATGCTAAAGCACCCACATTAGTCCAACTAAATATCTGAAACTCATCGGCACTTGTCAATTGATTTATGGTCATTCCGGCTTGTATGTGAATTATACTAGGGCCAGCCACGCCGAATAATGTTCCGATGAAGAAAACGGATAATGGGACACCCACATGAGGTGCGGCAATGTTTGCAAACCAATTCGGAGGAAAGGGCATCAGACGAAGGACAATCATGTAATTTAAGAGATTGTGAGATTGAGCACGAAGTTGAGCGGACCAAGTAGATAGTTTTGTGGAAAAGTTTTTACGAACGAAGGATTTTCCGAAGTTTTTAGAAAGGAGGTAGCAATTTGAAGCACCTATTGCGGAGCACTAAGAGAATATGGAATCGATGAATTTAAAAAAAAAAGGTGATTAACGAATGTTTGGTTCTTTAACACTCTTCGAAAGGGGAACATGCTGATATGTATTAATAAGCATGACTCTAGATCACTTTCATTTCTTCCGGAGATTACGAAAACAATAAAGTTCGATACATACCATGCAAACAATTAATAGGGACGTTGGTAACCCAAACAGTGCACCACCTAATATTGACAACCACATACTTCCTGGTATCGAAAATGTTTGCAAACTATTGATAATAATAATAATAAATAATAAATATCCTAACTTTGGATTTGGAAACAATGGTTAATCGATTCATACTTACAATATGTAGACAACGGAATAGGTAGTCATCACATTGAAATTATATTGATCCATGTATTCGCTTAAGATTTTGTTTAGTTCTTGAAGATCCTCGATACTCTTGGGTATACGGAGATTTTGTTTTTGATTCCTGTATAATAATAATAATTGGTTAAATTAAATAATGAAGGTTCAAGTGCAATTTCTTTATAAAAAAAATAACTTACTCATCCAACGGCGGTAAATAAAACATTAGTGTTGCATAAACCACAACAGTTGATACCACGAACAAACATGTTAGCTGTAGTAATGCTTTCAACATATCCCATTTACCATCTCTACTATCACTATTTCCTTCAATTGTATCTTCCCTTATTCTATCACTCGTAATCTCACCACCATTAATTCCTTCGTTGGTATCAACGTTTATTCTAACATCATCATTATTTTGGGTAAAACTACCATTCTCATCTTTACGTTTTATTATGAATCTCTGGATCCAATCACCACTAAATAACATATTTGATTTTTTATTCTCATTCACATTTATGTCCACGTTTATACCGCCCTCATCTACTGTTGGCATACCTAATATTTTCATCGAATCAACGGAATCACAAAAAGGTGATTTTTTTAGTAATGGTTCTGATTCAGAAGATATCGATGAAATGGTGGCGGTGACAGATCTTTGAGGTTGAAAAATGGACGAGATGTAAGAAGATAATTTATTTTCCATTCTGAAAGATAAGTTTTCGATTGAGGATTATCATAAAATTTTACGCAAGTAGTAAATTAACTAGTTAATCTAGTATTTAGAAATATTAAATATTTTATGTCACAACACTGAAAAGGTGAATTGTATGATGACGAGATATGCAACACACAAGTGCGTTGATTATCCTCAAAAGAAGACCCGATTGGAAGAAATTTTTATTCAAAGCGAAGGAATGGCTTAAATTCGATAAGAAAATACGCAAAGAAGGTGCAGACTTCAATTTTAACAAGAAACGAGGATAAGGAAGGTATTGAGAGAAGAGGTTTTTAATTGAACCAAAATCTTTTGTAAGCGCTCAGAGTTTCTTAAAAAATGAAGCCTCAAATATGGCGAATTTGTTTACTTATATGTTTAATAATATACTGTATATGCTATGCTAGTCAATACACAATTAATAAATTGACCGGAGAAAATATATGGCCAGCGTAACACGAGCGTACTGCAATTCCAGAGGTCGGTTATATTGGAAAGGAAAGGTTTTCGCCATTTCGTCTTTCCTTATTGTTATTGTAAACATTAACAATAGACATCGACATAGATGATTATAGTGTGCAATCCATTTTATATCTATCCATTAATGGTTATAAGGTTATTTTTTTATTTTGGTCAATGAATCATTAGTCGGAGATTACCCAAATTTTCAACATGATAATTTTCAAACGCACTGATGATACGTACACACGCATGTCTTCCAGTAAAAATTGGTCTTCGAGTACATACTGTATATGTAAACACAAACACGTACGTACATATTAACATTGTAGTATGTAAAACACATGCATGCCATCATTTCTCTAACTGGTGACGTATGCTTACCCATTCTCGGAATTTAATGTGAAAATGAGTAAATATCGAACGATGTACATGATAACAGATAAGTCATGTCGCATTTACAGTACGTACACGCACGTATGTACATACATGTCCAATTAATTGGTCTAAATTGCTCGATCTATATTATGTAATCATGTAATCTTGGACCCTGGTTACGCAAACAAGGACAATGAGAATGTTATTAGGTTAAGGAAACCAAAAAGACAAAATTAATCAATTTAAAATTACCTGGTTTCGTAGGGTAAAAGAACAAATCAAAAGCTCGTGAAACTTCATACTCATGACCGATTTTCAAAATTAGTCGCATTAATGCTAAAATGTCTAGAATTATAATGAAACGAAATACAGTATTAAAGTTTTTTATATACGTATTAATTTTTTGTTAAAAAAATAATAATTTTAAATGCACAAATATATGTACGATGCGTATATTATATGTATTTTTTAAGATACTGTATTTAAGTATGCAATGCATACCAAATTTTTACTATTAAATGTTGAATAAAATAAAATCCGTAATCACAATAAAATTATTTGTTTGTTAAATTATTACAATCAAGATTACATATATAAACTACTTATTAATCAACATTAATAAATCTCTAGGTGTAAATTATAGGAATGATACATTGCTCATCTATTGAATATGATGTAAACAGCCTAGCCATATTTAATAATTTTTAATAATTTTAAAGTAGAAAAGAACCTAATTAATTATTTAAAAAATCTTATTAAAAAAATGTATAGTTTAATAATTTTAATATAATATTTAATGCAATGTATTTTTTTTATTAATTTTATTTTATTTTATTTTATTTTTTTTAATCCCGCAATCAGGTTGGTGTCATTTATTTATTTAATCATAAAGAACCATTACAAGTTAAGAATCCATGCAAAGTATAAATTTCCCCAACCCAACTTACTCATCTTTAGCTAAAGCCTCTATATGCAATTTATAGGGGTGATAATGTTGTTCCTCTAATGGATGGAATTAAGATTCCAGATTTCCAGCAGGATCAAAACTTGCAAATCACCTCTGTAGTCACAACCATAAACCCAAATTGTATTCCCCCCTCTTGTAGTAACTACACAAGAGGAAAAAGGAATAAAAAAGAAATTTTTTAAACAAAAGAAAAGAAAAAAAAGCTATCATCTATTCTAACTATCATTGAAAAGGTTATTTCTGTAAACTTCAAAAACCCAAACCTCTCATGATACCTCACTTCTCACCACCTGTGGCCAGTTAGACTGTTTAATTTCTATTGGAGTAGTTGATGTCCAAGAACGTTTAAAGGTACTTCCAGGAAAGTATTTTTTGAGACTTTACGCTTGAAGACTTCTGACTAGAAAGAATGTTGGTTTTCTATTGTTGATTTCTTTCCCAAGCCATATCTTCTGGAATTATTGTTTCATTCAACCGGTGAATAGTTTCAAGATCCCTTTCTCTAACCATTTTTGGGATAAATATTGATACTTCAACTTGTTATCAGATTGGGATAGGACCTAGATCTTGTTACTACTTCAAGTCCTCAAGAAAAAATAGGAAAGAAAAAAGAAAATAAAAGGATGGGAACAAAAGGTGTCGCTCCTCTTTTTCTCACAACTTCAACTAACAACCATTCAACTTTTTCAGGAACCAATTATATCATCGGTTTGGTTTTGCACGACTGGAAACACATGAGGAGTACATGTCTTGTTTACTTTTTCTGTGGCTGACGTGATCAACCACACTGTGACCTTGACCAACCATCTTTCAGGGAATCTGGTGTGACCA